CTAGACTGGCCAGCTTTTCCAGAAAATCAGCCGCTTTTTCAGAAAAACTTGCCAGCTGTCTACACTGGCCGCTTGAATTTCCGCAAAAGCACTAACTTCCTACTGTAAGAAATCAGTGCTTCTTGCGGAAATACTATTCTGCTCCCGTTCAGGCAAAAGGGCCAGTGTAGACAGCTCAGATTTGTTTTGCGCAAAAAAGCCCAGATCACAAAAATGGCGATGGGGGCTTTTTTGCGGAAAAGTGCGTCTAGATTGGCACGTACGCTTTTCCGTAAAAAGCATTTCTGGAAAATCATGGCAGTCTAGATGCAGCCTTCGGGTTTTAACACCTTTACCATCTTGACCTGATATACCAGTGGCTAATCTATTCCCCTGCTCCTAATGTTGTCGTCAATGGTAGGAAATTTTAGGGGAGAAATGTCAAGTGCTGACACATCCTAGCTCTTCCGTTAGTGGGAGTAGCAGAAAAGCATAATTTGCAGATCCGAGTTAAAGGATTAAGGACTCAATCCAATACTGCAGTGAAGTCAATGAGAATACTGCACTTCAGTCAGTACTGGAGGAGGCCAGTTTAATTAGAGGTAGTCCATTGGTGCTGGTATTTTATCTGTTGTATGGGCAAAGCTCTGCATGCTGTACAGCATATCAGGGCTAAATCATGCATGTATCAACTTGGAATCATGCAGGACTTCCCTTTTCCTTCATATTGTTCCCCTCCCCCATTCTCACCAGTGACATATACCCCTTGTACTATTCATTTATTATAAATAGTTCCCACATTTTAAATTTCCACTGTGATGTTGATTATTGAATTTAGGAGGAGTAATTGCTGCAGGGAGCTGTTGGGGAGGTTAACAATTGGTATAGAGCAGGAGAAAGGAGAGAGGGAATGCAGCTGTTTTGCACCCAGGAAGGCATGAGGTTTAATTTGGGGTTTTGATAACAAGGAGGCACTGAGGATATTGAAATTTGGAGGATAGGGGTGTATTTAATACTGTGCATCCCAGCAACCCAGGCAATAACATTGCCCAAATGCATTCTGTCTTAGCACATGTCATGCCTCTGCTGGGGTGATTAAGAGTGAAACAGTATTAGAATTGCAGAGTTGTTATTAATCATATTACTTGATGTGATTAGAAGATCATAGAGGCAAACAGATTTCCATAATAGTTTACATAGTAAGAAACATTGCCAACAGACCATACCAAACCAATGCACCCTGAAGTGGCTAATTTCTCATAGTGGCAGCTGGTAGGGAGCTATTGATGGATAACTACAAGTGGACAATGCTGAATATGTTCTTTGAAGCTTGAAAGTATATTGTTACCTTTATGTGCAGTGCAAAATCCCTCCTACCTGTTGAAATGCTATTTCCCAAAAGTCTGGGAATAATTAAAAGTGAATACAAATATATAGTAATGATTGGTGGCTGAAGCATTTGCTCAGCAAATCGCTTCTTATGTGAAGTCACAGCCTAATTTGTTAGAATTGTAATAAAGAAGAGAATTACCAAACAAACAGATAAATACAATATTTTGGGGAAACATTGACCTGGCTATTGTAAAGGAAAGCATGCCTCACCAATTTATTAGAATTCTTCCAGGGGAGCAAGCACACGGATAAGGCTGATCTAGTGGATATAGTGTCCTTCTATTTTCAAAAAGTCTTTGATAAGGTCCTACTCTAAAGGCTCTTGAGCAAAGCGGGCTGTTATAGGATAAGAGGGAATGTCCTCTTATGGATCAGTAATTGGTCACAATGGAGAGAGGTAAATAGCAAGGTTCCCCACATATCTGTACTGGAATCAACGATTTCATCATTCACTGATGATCTGGAAAAAGGGGTAGATCATGAGATGGCAAAGATGCAGATAACTCAGAATTACTCAAGACAGTCAAGTCGAAAGCTGACTCTGAATTTCATCTGCCATTTTGATGCCCAGTCCTCCAGTTTTCTGAGATTCCTTTGTAACTCTTCAACACAGATAAATTCAGAGTAATGCACATTGGAGAACAATCACAACAAAATATACAAAGTAATGAGGTCTAAATTAGCTGTTACCATGCAATAAAGGTCTGAGTCATTGTGGATAGTTCTCTGAAAACACAGGCTCAGTGTGCAGCAGCAGTCACAAAGCTAACTAAACAATCAAGTCTATTAAGAAAGGGATAGGTAATACAGAAAATATAATGCCACTATATAAATATACCTTGAATACTGTGCATAGTTCTGGCCAGACCTCTTCCCCCATATAAAAAGAAATATATTAGCATTGTCAAAGATAAAGAGAGGAAACAAAACTGGGTAGGGGTATGGAACAACTACCATAGAAGGAGAGATTAAAAAAACCTGGAGCCAGCAACATGGTTGTGAGTGGGACTGGAGAAGAGCTGAGTACAGAGCCAGGCTGGGTGGCTCTCTGTCCCCCTCCTTTTGGGGGCTGGTCTGAGCCCCACTGAGGCTTAAGTGTTCCTCCACTTTGGAGAACTCTGCTTTAATTGTTACATGTTTGGCTTGCTTTAATTTAAGGTTAATTCTGGGTTTCCTGAGTTTGTAATGTTTTTTTGCAGTAATTTCAACTTATTCACTACTTTAACTCTCCCCAGGGAGTATTTTTTCTGGGAATGTCAATGGTCTTACACCAACAGAGAACTTGGCTCATAGGCGGGCAGATTTGCACTTGAATTTTGCTCAATTCCCTTTGAAGATCTTGGGCTAAAACTTTTATTGAAAAAATATAATAAAAATGGTATTATATTATGGTAGCACTATAAGGTCTCAATCTGAATTGAAGCCCTATTGCAGTAGAAGCTATACAAACACAAGATATAACTGTTGACATTGTCACCAAGGTGGTGGAACATCTCATAACGCAGATGTATTTAGTATCTGGTCTTAGGTTTCCCAGTTTGATGCTGCTTATTCCCCAACTTTTCGGAGCATTTGCAGATAAATCTAAAATTTTTAAAAGAGGAAAGCTGTATCTCTGCATCATGTATGGAAACAGATCACATTGCTGCAAAATGCTTTTGGAATCGAAGACACGGTTTTTTGCATACAAACAAAGGCATTGTTCATTCCCTAACAGCAATGGAAGGGGAACATAGCAAGCGAGTGATATTTTGAGAAAGAAAATCCAATTATGGTGAATTAAATTCATCTGAACCTCCTCTGCATTATAAATGTGGAGATAGTGACAGTCACATAAAACAGAAAGTCTTGTTGGCCTTGACCTGGAATACTTATCTGCCATGTACCATGGCACTGTTAGCTAGTCATTAAGCGGAGCTCCAAGCACAGCTCTGCTTATTATGTAGTGCAGCTATAGAAGTCGGATAATATTTGAATCAGTGAATATAAAATATTTGGACTGGAGACTATAAAATAAGCACACTGGAGAGGGACTATTGAATAAGAAAAAAAATCACATTAAAATAACATATTTGAAGATACAAAGCTCATTTTATTTTTCTAATAGACACATTATTACTTATCTCTATCTAAGCACAAAGCAGAGGGTTGGATAAGAAAGATGAAATGGGAATTAAGACTAGTCTTCATGCCTTGGCTTTCCAGTTCTTAAAACTGAATTTGTGCAGCCACAATAAGAGTGTTTGTGCATAGTTTGCACATCTGCTCTCACTCCATCATGGAAGAGGGTTTCCCATAGGCCTCAGTCTTATAAAGTCCCTGAGCTTTTCTGTCTCTGCCAATTTAGGTTCAGTGTCTGAGCAAAAGGAGACTGAGATCTGAAAGATTTCAGGATAGGGGAGGGGGAAGAGACCTTGTTGTTTCCTGCAGTGGAGCGGTACAGAACTATGCTGCTCTGGGAGCTCAACAGACACAACCCTGCTGAGCTCCCTACAATGCAATGGGAGAATGAGCATCAGCAGGAGGATAGAGATATGACCTCTTTTAGGAGAATGCAAAGAGTCCCTGTGCCATCTTGAACACAGGTATCCACACCCTTTTTTCATGGCAGGGATCTATTTGTACCATCTCTCACTGCAGGCCCACATGAATGTCAGGGATAATCTAGCCCTGCAAAAAGACTTTAGGCTTTGGCCCATAAAGATATTTTGGAGATGCTGAGTTAAGGTTTCTGTAAGTTGTCAGTATTTTCTAAGGCTCTATCTCACACTACGGAAACATTCTTAGAGGAAAGGTACAATATCACTGAAGGGGAGATATTTAGTAAGAAGAATAAATGTTGGACAATTCAAAAGTTGGGATCTGAAGAGAGTAGGATAGGGGTGATATTTTCTCTCTGTGGCTCTTTACCACAAGTATTCCAATTACTTCTACCTCCCCATCAACCTTCTTTATATCCAAGCATTCCCTAGTAGAAGTTACTGTTGTGCATAGGAACTGGGTAGCATCTCTTTAAATAAATAGTCTGTGAGCTCTCTATATAGGCCCTCACTGATTTCTGTTTCAGAAGCTAATGAATTTGTACCAGAGCAGCAGCAGCGTAAATACATGAATATGCCTTACGCATTATGGGTGCATCTAGACTGGCAAGATTTTGCACAAAAGCAGCCACTTTTGTGCAAAATCTTGCCACCTGTCTACACTGGCCGCGAGTATTTGCGCAAGAACACTGACTTTATGCTGTACAAAATCAGTGGTTCTTGCACAAATACTCCGACGCTCCCACTCAGGGATAAGCCCTCTTGCGCAAGTATTCTTGTGCAAGAGGGCCAGTGTAGACAGCCAAGTTAATTTCTTGCGCAAGAAAGCCCAATGGCTAAAATGGCCATTGGAGCTTTCTTGCGCAAGAGAGCGTCTACACTGGCATGGATGCTTTTGCGCAAAAGCACATCTCTTGCACAAAGGCACATGCCAGTATAGACGCTCTCTTGCGCAAATACTTTTAACGGAAAAACATTTCAGTTAAAAATATTTTTGCAAACTCATGCCAGTCTAGACGCAGCCTATATGCTTAGTAATCATATTTTTTGCTTCACACTGAGTCAGTCTCATTTCTTTATCTACTATAGATTTGAGTATTTGTCTGTCTGTGCATGAGCCTGTTCATTCAAGAACTCCTAAATGGTAAGAGCTAGGAGCACCAAATTTGGTATGTAGTTTCCTCTTATCATAACTTAAAGGTGAGGATTGTGCCAGGAAAATGGGATGTGCCTGAAATGTGATTGTTCCTCAGAAAACCATACAGAAAAGAGAGAGAATCACCAGGCAGGTGCAAGGTATCCCACCTCATCCAGGACTGCCCCAGTCCTGAGGCTCCCATCCCCCAGGCACACTTGGGGATAATGGGGAGCTGAAACTCACTACCCAATTTGTACGGGGATGTTGCTGGCTGTTCCCCTTTGTTAGGGAGCCTGGGGAAAGTGCACAATTTGCTGCATTCCTCACTCTGGCTGGAGAGTGCAGGGGGCAGACGATCTTGGATCTGGCCTAGCTGAGGGACATGCTTCCTTCCCGGCTTTGCCTGCTGGCACACAGCGTGCAGGTTCCTCTCTCCCTTGGGCAGCCTGCACACTGAACCCTTCATCACCAGCCCCACACCACCACAATTATTTAAATGAAGAAAATAAAAAATTGAGTTGAGTTAAGGACCTGAGCAACACTGGGTACATCTTCTAGTATTATATAGTACGCTATGTAAACAGCAAAAGATAACTGACTATGAAGATGGGATCCTAATCCAAGAATACAGTGAAATGGCGTGCAGACATTTACTAATTGATCACCTCTGCTCTAGGACTCATGTCCTACATAAAATAATTTACACGTGGAGTATGCTCAAGCATTGTGTCACTGCTTTTTCCTCTAGTGGGAAGCTGAACTGAAAGGCCCTAGCCATCTGCTACCTATTGGCAGAGGGACAGTGATGGTGTCAGAATGGGGTAAGAGTATTTTCATTTTGGGAAAGGTTCTAACATAGAAATTGTATATTCCTTCCATTTCCAGCACTCTTCCTTCCTTTGTGGGCATCAATTCCTTCTCCTTTGTAGTAAAATTTACCTTTGTGTAGAGGACCTGGACAAAGCACCTACAAGTAAAGGTGTGACGTAGTGGGGGGTGCTGTCTGCTCTGTAACCCAGGGTCCCCCTGTGCTGTGATGTGTGATTCCAACTGACTCACCCACATGTGTATTAGCCCAGACACCTAGGCCCAGTTTGACCAGATAACAAGGCTCTTCCCCCGGGGAAGAGACAAAGGGAGGGAGGCAGAGATGAACACCCGGTTTGGGGACAGGGTCGGAGAGCGAGGCAATTGCTGACTGGGGAACATGAAGGAAACAGCCTTAGCTGAGGGTCTAGGGGAGACAATGGACTCCCTAATCCAAGGAGTCTGAGGCATCCTGGCTCTGACTCCTAAAACCACATCATGTCTGTGCTGTGCTGTATCCTGGAGAAGCAATAAACCCTCTCTATTCTACTGGCTGGCGGAGTCTGTTCTTGCTGCTACGGGGCTGCAGGATCAGAGGGAACCCCGACTCGCCGTCACACAAGGCTCCAGTCTGAGTCAGATTTCAGGGTGGGGGATAAATGTCTACACTGCAGTTAAAAAGGCCCTTAGCCCAAGCCCAAATCGGCTATCCAGGGCAACTGGGAATCTAATTGCAGCATAGACATACTGTCATCTGAAGTCAGAAGCCTGGTCTTCATTATTGTAGAAGAAATGTTAATAAATGACCAGTTCCTATTTGGAAGCAGAAAGGGACTTCAGCAATATCAGCTCTAGTAATGTTTTAGTGAGGGAAGGCAGGGAATTAAGCCTTGCATGTTCCTTTCTCCTCTCCTGATCAGTAGCCAGAATGCGCAGCAAACTCCCCAGGAGTGTAGGTCAGCTGCTTTAGGGGCACAGTGTGTTTGCTGCACTATATCCTTGTTTCTCTTTCCGCTCCATTATCCCTTCTTGTTCATTGTGGGAGCTCAGAAAGATAACCTTTTCAATAATCATCTGAAATTCAAATACAGAGAAATTCACTCCTAACATACCCTAATGTTTGAGAAAGGTTTTAGAATAAAGTAGGTGTTTCAGAGTCCTATTATTGCCCTGGCATCTGCGTGTGTACTCTAGGTGCACTGAGGAAAGTAATATTAACAGAATGAAAAGGTCAGAGTTATATAAAAATCCTTTTAAAACTAAACAGGCCTGACATGATGCTTTCCCCACAGACACATTGCTGGCGTTTATGAGCTGATAACATTTGGACCTTTGGGGAAGGTCAAGTTGTACATGTGTAAATGCCCTCAAAACTAAAAAGTCAAGAAGTAAAGAGATAGCTATGAGTCAGATTCTTGCTGAATTGAATCTTATTTCACAAGAGCACTTGGACAAGGCTACTCTCTGATCAAGATGCTACTCAACACTGGTAAGAATGGCAGAATCTGGCTTTTTATCCACATCGTGAGGCAAGTCATCATAGAGCGGCTTTTATGCTATCTCTGCTGGAGTTTCTATTTTCTCCTTCATTTTTGCTCTTAAATTTATCCCAGTATGTTCTTCTGCCTCCTCTCTGACAAATAGCCACCACCTCACTTCCTCAGCTGCAGCTGGAAGGTCAGCTACCAATGGTAGTTCATATGACAGCCAGTGAGGGGGATCACAACAGTTGTCTGGCTTCTCTCTCTGTCGTTTGAAGGTCAGTTCACCAACCTTTGAATTTGCATAGAGGGTGGAGTCCTGGGTTCCACAACAGGACTTGTGATATGCTTCCAGGCTGGGATGTTCTAATGAGCCCAAATCTTATGGACTTTAAATGGGATTTGGATGCATAATTTTCATCAGATCCTTTGAAACTCCCAGCCCCAGTTAGTCACCGATATAGCACTAATGTAACAGATATCACTAGGGTGCAAGGCTTTTAAAGCATTGTTCTCCGCTTAAAAAATATTACATATTATTATCATAAACAGGCAAATCAGTATCAGAACACCCTGTAAAGGGATCTCTACTGAATAATTTGCTTTTAAATTAATTCATATTTGCAAATGTTAGAAAAGCTGAGAAATTAACATAAGGGGCCGTGCACATGTTTAACAAAACGAGGTACCTCCACAGTGAACACCTGGGACACAATTTTGCTTTTTTCATTGAAAAGTAACAAGTCACTGGAAAAAGTATCTTTTCACATAGCAGCTCAGCTTCCGCTATCTGCGGTTCTGGTTTGGGCCAGATCCTCAGAGGCACTGAACACCTGCAAACCCCAGTGACTTTATATCAGCACTAGAATGGAAGAGACACTAGAAATGTAAATAACACAATGAAGAAGAATGGACTCACTGCTGACATGCCTCCTTGTGGCAGGCTTTCCTAATCTGGCATCCTCTTCAGACAGCCACTCTGGCCCTGCCTCTTCTCATGACTTGGCCAATCATCCATCTCACATTTTGTCCCTCTCCTTCCAGGTGAAGAGTCCAACAGCCTAACACTGACTCTTGGTTCTGTTACCTCCAGGAGGAGAAGGTAATGCTTCAAAGAACTAAGATTCTGGGAGAGGGAAATAGAAATGGGAAACCCCTTTTCTCAGAAGGGCAGACTCGACTTATTCCATTGTCTGTCACCTAGTGGTGACTAATGTGTCCTGCCCCTGCAGTGTGATGCAACAGAAATAAAGAAAAGACTAGCAGTTTGCAAACAAAGGTAAACATATTAGGGATAAAGATACAAAACTGGGTGGAATGGGAGAAAATACAAACATATGTTCAACAGTGAACTGGATCCAGGTGTGTAAAGCTCAGTCCCAAAATAAAATCTCCTATGGATCTGTAAAATAATAAACTGTACCCCAGTGGTCCCCAACCTTCAGAGGCTCCCGGGCGCCCGGGAGGTGGGGCCACTCACGTGCCGGGCGCCCGGGAGGTGGGGGCCACTCACGCGCCGGGCGCACACCAGGGGACTGGGATGCCCTTGCACCCGGCGCCGGCGTGTGCCCTAGGGCGGGGG